TCTACTTCTATAATGGTATTGTCTGAAAATAAGAAAAAAAGAAATTCATTTCTTTTTCACATTTAATATTTTATTTTTTTAAATGACAGATAAAATTGTATATATTTATGATGTTTTCTTTTTTCTTTTTTTTCTTTTACATTTTCTTTCTCTTTTTTTTTTTCTTATTTTTGCTGCGATTCCAGGGACAATACTGTATTTATGATGTTTTAAAGTGTACATACATCATGGAATGACTAAATCTGGCTAATTAACTTATACATTACTTCATATAGTTATCGTTTTTGTGATGAGAACACTTAACATCCACTCATAACATTTTTCAAGCATACAACATATTGTTATTAACTATAGTTAACCATGCTTTTTTTTTTTTGAGACAGTCTCACTCTGTTGCCTGGGCTAGAGTGCCATGGTGTCAGCCTAGCTCACAGCAACCTCAAACTCCTGGGCTTAAGTGATCCTTCTGCCTCAGCCTCCTGAGTAGCTTAGGATTACAGGCATGCGCCATCATGCCTGGGTAATTTTTTATATATATGTATATTTTTAGTTGTCCAACTAATTTCTTTCTATTTTTTTTAGTAGAGACGGGGTCTCATTCTTGCTCAGGCTGGTCTTGAACTCCTGAGCTCAAACTATCCACCCGCCTTGGCCTCCCAGAGTGCTAGGATTACAGGTGTGAGCTACTGCGCCCAGCCAATAGTTCACCATCTTGTACAAGAGATCTCTTGAACTTATTCCTCCTAGCTGAAATTTTGCATTCTTTTTTGGTTTTCCTTACTGATCTTTATGACTTTTATTACTTTTTCTAGCTCTCTCACATTGACTAGGATTCCCAGTACAGTGTTGTGTAGCAGTGCTGAGAGCAGACATCTTGCCTTATTCTTTTTTTTTTTTTTTTGAGGCAGAGTCTCACTCTGTTGCCCGGGCTAGAGTGCCGTGGCATCACCCTAGCTCACAGCAACCTCAAACTCCTGGGCTCAACTGATCCTACTGCCTCAGCCTCCCGAGTAGCTGGAACTACAGGCAGGCACCACCATGCCTGGTGAATTTTTTCTATTTATATTTTTAGTTGGCCAATTAATTTCTTTCTATTTTTAGTAGAGACGGGATCTCACTCTTGCTCAGGCTGGTTTTTGTTGTTTTGTTTTGTTTTTTTGTTGTCAATAAGAAATTTACATGTTTTAAAAAAATCCAAATGCTGGCATTGTCCAGAAAAATTTAACAGGTTTATTTATAATTGTTACCAAGTTGAACTGCTGAAACTTGTTCACTGAAACATTTGACTCGCATTAATGCTTCACATCCCACATTTATATTAAAAAGTCACACACAAATGAAAATGGAAAAACTGCCAATACCTGGTTTTCTGTCCCCTATTTTTCCACTTGAAATCATATACTTAGGTACCTTTTGACCCCATTGGGGGAAAAAATCTAACGTTCAGAACTACCAATAACAGGAAGAAGAGAATCTTTTTTTTTGAGAATGAAATGTTTTCCCATCATAGTGGATTCTTGAGCACGTTCTCCACGTATGCGGCGTGCTAGCTGGGTGTCTTTTGGCACAATTGTTACACGGTTGGCGTGGTAGCACACAGATTGGTGTCTTCAAAAAGGCCAACCAGATAGGCCTCACTTGCCTCCTGCAAAGCACCAACAGCTGCGCTCTGGAAGTGCTGCTCTGTTTTGAAGTCCTGAGCAATTTCTCACACCAGACGCTGGAAAGGAAGTTTGTGAATCAGAAGTTCAGTGGACTTCTGATAATGTCTAATTTCACGGAATGCCACTGTACCAGGCCTGTAGTGATGAGGTTTCTTCACCCCTCCAGTAGAGGGCGCACTCTTGCGTGTGGCTTTTGTAGCCAGTTGCTTCCTGGGTGCTTTCCCACCGGTCGATTTGCAGGCAGTCTGCTTTTTACGAGCCATGGTATATAAAGACCTCCTTACTTTCTTCCTCGGCTGGAGCTCTGTGAGCAAGAGGCGCATGGTGACGCTGGCGCAAACACTGAACACCACTCAGGCTGGTTTTGAACTCCTGACCTTGAGCGGATGATCCACCTGCCTTGGCCTCCCAGAGTGCTAGGATTACAGGTGTGAGTCACTGCGCCCGGCCCTTGCCTTGTTCTTGATCTTAGAAAGAAAACACTATTAAGGCTCATGTTAGATGCATGTTTTTGTAGTTGCCATTTCTCAGATTGAAGAAGTTTGCTAGTTTCCTGAGAGGGGTTTTTTATTATATTTTTTAAAAATCATGAAAAGGTTTTCCATTTTGACATATGCTTTCTTGGTGCCTATGGAGGTGATTCAGTATTCCCTATTCTGTTAATCAGAATCACAGTGGTTGATTTTAAATGTTGAACCAACTGTGCATTCCTGGGATGAATCACACTTGGTCATGATGTATTACTCTTATTATGTTTTGCCAGAATCCATTTGCTAGTATTTTCCTGAGGATTTTTTGTTTCTATGCTAATGAGTGATATTGATCTATAGTTTTTTTCTTTATAGCCTTCTCTGGTTTTGGTTTCACTGACCTCAAAAATGGGCTAGGAACTCTTTCCTCCTGCTCTGTCTTACTGGTGATTTTTATGAGATTGTTGTGATTTCTTCTTTAAATGTTTGATGGAACAGTGGAGCCATCTGTTTTCATTTTCTATTTCATGGATTTCCATTAATTTCTTTTCATCTATATTTTCCCCACATATTTATTTATTCATTTTTTAACAGCTCTGGTGAAGTAAAAATGAGATATACAAACTGTACATATTTAAAGTGTTTTGACATAAATATGTGCACATACCATATAGCTACCACGGTAATCAAGGCAGTGAACATATCCATCAGCTCCAGAATTTCCCTCCTTCCGCTTTGTAATCTTTCCCTTCTGCTTCCCCTGTCCCCACACTCCAGGCAACAACTGATCTGCTGTCTATTATTATAGGGTAGTTTGCATTTTGTAGACTTTTCTATAAATGAAATACATATGTACTCTTTTTTTGCTAACTTTGTTTACTAAGCATACTCATTTGGAGAGTCGTGTGTTGCATGTAACAGTAGTTTCATCCTTTTTATTTTTGAGTGGTGTTCCAGGTATGGATAGTCTTTTATCCATTCACACGTTGGTGGACATCTGGGTTGTTTCCAGTTTTAGGCTATTACGGATGAGGCTATTGTGAATAGTCATGTGCAAGTCTTTCTATAGATGCGTGCCTTCATTTTGGGGGGTAAATATTTAGCAGTGTAACATGAGGGCTGATGTATGTTTAACTTTTTAAGAAATTGCCAAAATGTTTTCCAAAGTGGTTGTACCATTTTACATTTCCATAAGCAGTATGTAAGTATTCCGCTTCCTCTGCATCCTAATCAACAGTGGATATGGTCAGTTTTTTAAATTTTAGACATTCTAATAGATGTTTAGTAGTGTCTTTGTGGTTTAAGTTTTATATTTCCCTAGTGGGTAATGCTGGAACACGTTATGTGCTTGCTTGCCTCCAGTATATCTTTAGCGATGTGTCTATTTATCTTTTGCACGTTAAAAATTTTATCATGGAATTTTGGCTTTTCTTCATATTTTTTGGATAGAAGTCCTTTATTAGGTATGTGATTTGCAAAACCTAGTTGGTAGCTTGTTTGTTTCCTCTGGCCAATGTATTTCAAAAAGCAGAAATGCTTTATCTGATGAAATCTGTTTATCATTTGTGCTTATATCTAAGAAATCTGGTGTGTATAGAGATAATTGATTTTTATATATTGTTCTCAATATCCTACAACCTTCCTAAACTCACATGAGTTATTGTAGTGGCTTTTCTTTTGTAGATTTCATAGATTTTCTACACAAATAATCATGCCATCTGCAAATAAAAATATTTTTATTTCTACCTTTTCAAGCTGGAAGTCTTTTTCTTTTTTTTTTTTTTAAAAAAATATATATATATGTTTTTTGTTTGTTTGTTTTTGAGACAGAGTCTCGCTCTGTGGCCCAGGCTAGAGTGCCATGGCATCAGCCTAGTTCATAGCAACCTCAAACTCCTGGGCTCAAGCAATCCTCTTCTCCTGCCTTAGCCTCCCAAGTAGCTGGGACTAGCTGGCTCACGCCTGTAATCCTAGCACTCTGGGGGGCCGAGGCAGGCAGATCGTTTGAGCTCAGGAGTTGGAGACCAGCTCTGAGCAAGAGCGAGACCCCATCTCTACTAAAAATAAAAAGAAATTAATTGGCCAACTAAAAATATATAGAAAAAATTAGCCAGGCATGGTGGCACATGCCTGTAGTCCCAGCTATTCGGGAGGCTGAGGCAGAAGGATTACTTGAGCCCAGGAGTTTGAGGTGCTCTGAGCTTGGCTCATGCCACTGACATGCCATGCCTGGGCAACAGAGTGAGACTCTGTCAAAAAAACAAACAAACAAAAAAAACAACTAAGCAAATTAAGCCTAAAAATAATTAAACTGAGTTTCAAATGTTAAGCTAATTCTGCTTGGTCATGGCATATTATCCTTTTTATATATTGTTGGGTTTGATTTGCCAGTACTTTATTTTATTAGAAATATGATTTGTTAAAAATTCTTTGGTATATATTCATGAGTGACAATAATCTGTACTTTTCTTTCAATGTCTTTTGGGGGCATTAAGGCAGTGAGGTCTAATTTGTCCTCTATCAATTGTTCTCTCTTTTTTTTTTTGATCAATCTATCTAGAATATCAGTTTCATTTATTTGTTTTCAGAAAACACTTTTGGTTTTGTTGATTTCATCCATTTTTTTCCCCTTTCATTAATTTCTGTTACTAGGTTCATTTCCTTCTTGTCTCTCAAGCAGAACATGTAAAATGCAGTGGTAAATAAATTGAAGCCATTATTTTTTCTGGAAAACAAATTGCTGGCCACAGCCACAAGTCCAGTTTGTATTTTATTGAGTAAAAGTTTTTGGTTTTTTTTTTTTTTAGCTTAATATGTTAAGTAAAAATCATTGCACTGAACTGATAAGTGTTTTTTTAATTTCCAGGAGGGTTTGCATTTGTGTATGAAGCTCAAGATCTGGGAAGTGGTAGAGAATATGCATTAAAGGTAATAAAGGATGATTTAACATTTTTATGTTGGTTTTTGGTTTATTTTAAAGGAAATCTGTGAGTGACAGTGTTATCAGAGACTTATCCCTATTATTAATATTTAGTTTATTTCTTTTTTACAGTTTGTATACTTTTGTTCTATTTGTTTCTTCTGATGGTGAAGTCGTCAGTAGTTTTAGGATGCTGTGTTCTTAAGGGCATGCCACCTTGAAGCGGTGGCCTCCAGCTTGGGGTTGAGGGCTCCCTCGGGCCCAGCCTACTTCACACTGGGGCCTGGGCTGCCTTGGAGAGAGGAGTGAGAGTGATCTCACAGTTGAGTCATAGCATCATGGCCTCCATCTGCCAAAATAAGGGTTCTACAAATATAAGGAGTTTGAGAACCATGCATATAAAACGTGTCCACGGCATATCTGTATATAGGCGTTGTGGTGAGACTCGGGCAAAGGTTTTGTCTGTACCACCTGTGTGCTGGGCTGAGTGGTTCTTTTTTTGTCTTGAGATATGACAAGAGGCCCAGCTTGGAGGTGGGGTACCCCAGTGTCCCCACCTTCAAGAGTGATTTTTTTTTTTTTTTTTTTTTTTGAGACAGAGTCTCACTTTGTTGCCCAGGCTACATTGAGTGCCATGACATCAGTCTAGTGCACAGCAACCTCAAACTCCTGGGCTCAAGTAATCCTACAGCCTCAGCCTCCTGAGTAGCTGGGACTACAGGCATGCGCCACCATGCCCGGCTAATTTTTCTATATATATATTATTTTGGCTGTTCATTTGTTTCTATTTATAGTAGAGATGGGGTCTCGCTCTTGCTCAGGCTGGTTTCAAACTCCTGACCTTGAGCGATCCACCCGCCTCGGCCTTCCAGAGTGCTAGGATTACAGGTGTGAGACACCGCGCCCGGCCTCAGGAGTGAATTTGAGTGGGCCTGGTTTTGGCGGTCCACAGTGTATACCCATGTCCCTGCCAAGCATCTCCTCTCATTTTTCTTGTTTGTCTTATTTTTCTCTGGCCTTTTTGGAGGAAAGGTTCCTTTTTTGCTTTTTCTCATATTCTTGGATCATAAAGCTCTTTCAAGGGTCTCTAACCTCCTGTCCAGTGTTTGCACAGATCAAATGTTAAAGCAGGTAAACAGATTAGTCTCTCTTAAACACATTGCATTTGTTTTCTTAGATGTTTATGTTTGAGATAAGGCATTATGTATAGTGGAAAAGTAAATAATCTTTAATCTTTGTGTGCTTTTTCCTGATACAGCGGTTATTGTCCAATGAAGAGGAAAAGAACAGAGCCATCATTCAAGAAGTTTGTTTCATGGTATCCTTTTCCAGGAACCAAGAGCCAACACGGTCACTTAGGGAGGCACAGCCCTGCATCATACTGTGACTGCCAGCTCAGTGATGCTGTGTTTGATGTGGTAAAATGGCCTTTTGCTTTTACCGAACAATTTATAGTGCAGAGGAGGTTTTTCCCCCTGTTCTTTACTCCCAGTTTAATATTAATAGTAAAAAATTCAAAAGTGTTGGATGAAGTTGTTGTTTCTACACATGAGGTCTTGATTCAGGGGATGGGCCAGTTAGCTCCTGCCCCTGCCGGCCCGGCCCCTATGAAGACCTGGCTGAGAGCTGTTATCAGCCACCACTGTTCACATTGCCCAGGGGCCCTGCCCTGATGGAGGACCTGGGCCTTTCTTGCCGCCTGCTGCTGCACATCCTCCATGAGTGTGGAGCCTTGCCCTCACTGTCATCATTCTGCTTCTCCTCTACAAGCTCTATCTACTCTGAGAGCCTGCAGGCCACCTGAGCCAGTGTTTGGGGGACTGTGATCACTTCTCACAGCCTCCCTGCTGTGTAGCCCCACAAGGGCCTCTGCCTGCTCCACTTGGTACAGGATGGACGCTGGCGTTGCTCCAGTCAGGTTGTATGGCTAGTATACCTGAGTCACCCCTGCCTTGCCACTACTCCTGACTCCTTTGCCTTTCTTGTGGTCTTCCACCTGCTCTCCTTGCCTTTCTGCTCTGGTGTGCTAAAATTGTGGTGTGATTCAATTAGAGTATTAGAGCTTTAGTATCTGAATAGAGTATACATTTATTTTTAAGTGCACAGAATTATGAATGTGGTTATGCACATTCTCCTTTAACAAGACACCTGCAGAAAAAGCTTTCCGGCCATCCCAATATTGTCCAGTTTTGTTCTGCAGCATCAATAGGAAAAGAAGAGTCGGACACAGGGCAGGCTGAGTTCCTTCTGCTCACAGAGCTCTGCAAAGGTAACATCCTGTAGAGGCTAAGTCATTGCTTTCTAACATGTTTAAACAGTTGTAAAATAGTCCCAGTATCTTCTCTGAAAACGATCTTATAAAAAAACTGGCTAACTGTCTAACAGGAGATCTTTGAGAGGCATGCCACCTTCGGGGGTGGGGGGGGTCCTGGCACCATCTCCCTCATTGGTCTGCAGGCTGCAATAGTACGGATGGGAGCTGGGCCTTCACTGTGTTGGTGTTCAACAAGGAAGGTGCTGAGAGGAGGGGGTGGTCCCTGTGCTGAGAGGAGGGGGGTCCCTGTGCTGAAGGGTCCTGTGTTGGCTTAGACAGAAGGTAGAATCTTTGATGCACACTTCTACATAGCGTTTGTGGATGACCCAGGTCAGGGCCCCTATCAGGCAGGGTCTCTAGCGTGCCCAGGCTGAGAGCTTGAGAGCTGGCTGCCTCAAGCTCCTGGCCCTGCACCAGACCAAGATCCTCTGTCTGGAGGCCCCACCTGGCCCTTTCTGCCTGCCAGCCCAGCCCCTGCTGGCAGTCCCCAGTGCGTGTCCCTGTGGTTGTCCAGGTATAGGTCCTGGGGATCAGGAAGTGCCATCAAGGGATGGAGGTGGCATTAATTCCTCAGATTGACACTTGTGTGGATGCTTTGTTTGTGTTGTCACCTTTCTTAAATTTTACACCTACAGAAAAGAAGCATGATGGACACCCATTTGCTGTTCACTAGCTTCCCCAGATTGTAACATTTCCCACGGGTGCTTTCTCTGCATATGCTTGCTGAGCCATTTAAAACAAGTTGCAGGCGTCAATGCCAGAAGCACTTGTGTTACTGTGTAGCCTGGGAATAGGGGCATTTCCACCATAACTGCAGTCTGCTTCACAGCTGAGAAAATCCTAGTGATGTGAGGTAGTGTCACGTCCATGTTCAGATGTCTCCCCTTGTCCCTGAAATGGCTTTTGTGACGTCTTCCTGTTCCCACACTGAGGTCATGTCAAGGTTCCTATGTTGCAGCTGCTTGTGATATCTCCTGGGCCTCTTTTGTTTTTCACTTTTTTCTCTGGGTGGCAATGGACTCCTCAGCTGGGGAATGGTGTCTGGACCTGGGACCCAGGTGTTCCTGGGCCTTTCATAGAGCTGAGAAGATGCTAAAACTGCCGGTGGTGCTGTTCATCCAGTTCAAGATGCCATGGGGTCTCCCACTTCATGGATGTTCATTATTATCAATTTTTATCACAAAAGGATAACCTGCCTGTTGAAAAAATACAAACAATACAAAGTGGTATAAATGCTTATAAAATGGGATTTTATTATATATATGTTTCCTTTTTTTAACAAAAAAATTACCATATTGTGTGTCTTTCCATGCCAGTAAATTCATCTCATGCTGTTGTAGAGGCTGTGTAATTTCTTTAGTTTGATGCACCATGAGTAGCGTGGCCAAGCTCCTGTTCTTGACTCACAGGTTTTCTCTGCCAGAGTGTTCTGGAACTACAGCACGTCTGCTGTGTGGGCCTTGTGCTCCTTGTGAGAGAAGTGCTGGGGCTGGCCGAGTTGGAGCATGTGTTGGGGATTCTGAGAGGCCCATCCTCCCCGGCACACTTGGGGCCACGTGGATCAAGGCTGAATGGGGCTTCCTGTCCATCCAGTTTGTTCTCTGATTGCACGTGATAAGGTTGACATGTTCCTCAACTCCCTTGCTCATCAATAGGGATGTCAGAAAGTGTTTGCATGATGTATATTTTGGTTTTAGAAGATTTGAGTAGGATCAGGGTGAGAATTGAAGCTGCTCATCTGGCTCTTTCCCAAGGTGGAGTGATAAGGGAGTATAGGAAACAGGGCCTATAGCCCGTGCCCAAGCACTGTCCCTGCTGGGGGCAGGGGCTCAAGCCCACAGCCCAGCCCCACCTCTTGTGGTGGTGCTGTGTGTCCAAAGTTAGGGTTACCAGGAGGTAAACATGCATGTACGAGCTGCGCAGGGGTGCTGCCTGGGTCTGGCTGTCTGGGAGCACATGCAAGACTGGCCAGATGCCAGGGGACTGTGAGCAGCACAGTGTGCCAGCCAGGCTGGCCTGGTGTGGGAGCATTTGGGACCCCTGGGACATGGGAGGGATGAGAGAGCCCCTGCGTGGCAGCACATGCAGGGCTTCTGAGATGTGCCGCAGACTCTTCCTGCTGGGCAGGTCTCCCAACACCCTCCGAGGGCTAGCTACCTGTCTACAGCTATGGCACATGCAGAGTATGTATGTATGTATTTATTTATTTATTTATTTATTTTTTTGAGACAGAGTCTCACTTTGTTGCCCAGGCTAGAGTGAGTGCCGTGGCGTCAGCCTAACTCACAGCAACCTCAAACTCCTGGGCTCAAGCAATCCTTCCGCCTCAGCCTCCCGAGTAGCTGGGACTATAGGCATGCGCCACCATGCCCGGCTAATTTTTTCCATATGTATTAGTTGGCCAATTAATTTCTTTCTATTTATAGTAGAGACAGGGTCTTACTTTTGCTCAGGCTGGTTTCAAACTCCTGACCTGGAGCAATCCACCCGCCTTGGCCTCCCAAAGTGCTAGGATTACAGGTGTGACCCACCGCGCCCAGCCCAGAGTATTTATTTTTTAAAAACTCCTTTACGTCTCCCTGAGAACGAGCCACTGAACCCGGCCAGTTAACACCATCAACACTGACTCACTCTGCCAACTCTTCCTGGTCCCACACCTGAGAACGTCGAGGTCAGTTGTCACTTCTATTCTGGCCCCTGGGGTCTGGATCCCATCTCACCTAGGCCTGTCCATCTCTTCCTGAGTACCCCATTCCCCTGAGAGCCCCTCATTCCTCCTCCCTAGGGCACCCCTATTAACTCCTGCTGAGAGCACACCTGCTCTTCCGAGGACCTCCTGTTCTTCTGGGGGTTGGGTATGTTTGGGGGCTGAGAGGTTCAGAGCAGCAGAGGTCGAGAGCCAGGGCAGGGCTGGGGGGCTGGGGAGGGGCCAGATCTGGAGTCACTGGGGCACCAGGCGCGGAAACTGTTTGGTGAGCAAGGGGAGTCTTGCGGGCTGTGCTGTGGGCACACAGGCAACAGGTGGGACCCAGCTCTGCGTGGCGGTGAGACTAGACCTATTCATGTGCAGGTTCCCTATGTCATCATAAAACTTACAAAGGTAGTGAGGTTATGGGAGCTGCCACTAAAGCGCTGTTAGAGCCTAGAGCTAACCATCCTCACTGCAGCACGTCTGTTGGCGTGGCTGCGTGCAGGCACTAGGAGTTCAGCGACTCACCAGGAGAAGCCAACTCCAAGTCAGAGTCAATGGTTGCATTATTCTAAACACTAGAGAGATCTTCACACACAAAAGTAGAAATATGAAAAAAATAAATAAACACTAGAGAGAGTGGGTTCAGGGAGAAAGGGGTGCAGGTTTAGGGAGGGTGGTAGAGATGGGAGGTGAGGGAGGGAGGCAGTCCCAGCTCAGGGAGTCCCAAGGCAGGGGCAGGAAGGGGCCAGTGTGGCTGGAGGAAAGCTCAGGGAGACGAGGTCACCGAGAGAGTGGAGAGGGCCCTGGTCATTGGCGTCAGCATTGGCTCTGGTGTTGGATGGGTGGCTGGTTGTCAGGGGCATGGAGTGTGCCAAGCAGAGGGTTGTGGACTGGTCTGTGGGCTGAGAAGAAGGAGCAGAGAATAGAGAGGCCTCAGGCACAACACCATGCTTGGGGCAAGGCCAGGATAAGAATACGGTGGGACCAGGACAGGTTGGGTCTGAATGTCAGTGGGAGTGCCAGGTCAGCTGGCAACACAAATGCTTGCATCCCCAGTGGGTCCTCAGCTCTGTGCTTGGCAGAGCTGGCTGGCCAGACATCCCTGGTTTCCTTGGGCCGAGGGTGCCTGGAAGGTCCCTGGACCAGCAGGATGGGGTCCCTGATTCAGTCTCTCATACGTAACAGTTACTGAAACTTTATGTCAGAGGGTAAATCACTATTTAGTGAATATTTCATTAGAGAGATTTGAGAAATTTGTATATTTGCAGTCATTTTTCTTTGTAGCTACCATTAGTAACATGGCTGATTCAGTTGTAAGCATTTGTAGCTGTTTTATCAGCACCTCTTGTGGTTCCTCTATGTAGCTACAGCAGCTACAGCAGCAGTTCTTCTCTCTCTAGGCTCTATAACTTGACTGCTTTGCTCATTGTGCTGTCCTGAGGCTGTTGCGTGCCCATCCCTGCCACTGGGTGGTGGTCCTACTCTCAGGGCTGCAGTGAGGACCTTCGTGCCCCAGCCAAAGGAAAAGCCGTGGAGCGGCACTCTGGGGTGGGTGGGCTGAGCACGCAGCCCGACCCTGGTCTCAGAAGAGGCAGCCTGTGACCTGGCAGCAAAGGCAGCTACACCTGGAACCGTAGCCTGCTGGCCAGGGAGGGCACAGCCTTGATAGCTCCATGGTGACGTGAATTTAATTGTCTCTTTTAGGGCAGCTGGTGGAATTTTTAAAGAAAAGTGAATCTAAAGGTCCTCTGTCGTGTGATACGGTTCTGAAGATATTTTATCAGACGTGCAGAGCAGTGCAGCACATGCACAAACAAAAGCCGCCCATCATTCATAGAGATCTCAAGGTACCAACTTCATTCAACACATGCTTGCTGGGATGCGTTTGTACCACCGGTCCAACATTAGGATGTTGGTGCTTGTTAGCAAGCAAGGCTTTGTGATCATTTCACCTGAGAACTTTGGAAAGATGTGTGTAAGAACTTCTTATATTGGAAATGACTTTTCTAGAAGCTTCCCCATTCTGTGTCTCCCTGTCTGATGGAACTTTGCCAACACAGAGGGGCCACTGTGCTGGGAGCTATCAGCTCCCAGTGGAGGGTGCCTTGGCCCCTGGCTGCCTCCTGGCTCTGCCTGGGGCTTCGTCTCGGGCTCCTGGTCCCGACACTGGTGTGGGTTCACTGTGGTCTCCATCAGAATGTGGATGAGGGCACACATCTCTGGATGTACCCTCTGAGGCTTCCTCGGCTCCTGCTCACTGAGC